CCCCAAAACCCCAAAACCCCAAAACCCCAAAGGTAATTTATCTTGCAAAAGATATGAAAAAAAATACGTAATACTCAGATCAAATGATGCATATTAAATTATTAAGACATTTCTATAAAATTGAAGTCAATGGTTGAAGCTAATTAAATTCCTACTATGCAGTATGGTTTGAGAGTCCACTCAGGAGGTACATTTTAAATTGAGGAGATTGAAGTACCAAGACCTGGTCCAGGACAAGTTCTTATTAAGGTGGAATGTGCTCCAATTAATCCAAGTGATATCTTCTTCTTGAAAGGTATTTACGAGGAGAGCTTCAAGGATAGCGGAATGAACATTCAGTTTCCAATTGTTCCAGGTTGGGAGGGATCAGGTACAGTTATCGCCTCTGGAGGTGGTCTTTTAGCATGGAGACTTGTTGGGAAAAGAGTTGCAATGACCAAGACTGATGAACCTAATCAAACATTATCAATCGGAGGTTGCTATCAACAATACATGATAACCAGTGCCTTATAATGCTTAGCCCTTCCTGATGACGTCTCATTCGAGGTAGGAGCAATGCATTTTGTTAACCCGTTGACTGCAATAGCTTTCGTTGATATTGTTAAAAATCACAAGGCTCAAGCTGTTATTCAAACAGGAGCAGCATCTCAATTAGGAAGGATGTTCGTCAAACTAGCCTAGGAAGAAAGGATTCCATTGATCAACATTGTTAGAAGATAGGAATAGGCTCAAATACTTTAAGAGCTAGGCGCTGAATACATCCTCAACTCAAGTGAGCCTGACTTTTTGGAGAGACTTGGTGAATTATCTAAAAAATTGAAAGCGTCTCTTTGCTTTGAAGCAGTTGCTGGTGATCTTACTGGAGATATTATGTCAAAGATGCCTTATGGATCAAAGTGCATTGTATATGGGTGCTTAAGTGAACAACCTGTAGGCGGCATTGAGTCTTTGGTATTGATTGGAAGAAATCAAAAATTAGAGGGATTCCTATTGAATAATTGGATGAAAAGTAAATCACTTTGGGGTCTTGGCAGTCTTATCACTAAATGCATTAGACTCATGAGAAACAAAACCTTCCATTCTGAGATAGCAAAAAGAGTATCTCTTTTTTAAGTTGAATCTGAAATACCAGAGTACTAGAAAAATATGACATTAGGAAAGTATATCATTTACCCTCAACAAGCGAAGCCAATTGAGAATGAGGACACAAAACCTTAATAAGACCAGCAGACTGTTGAACCTTATAATCCTTCTAATTGAATCAAACAAATGAAAGGGTTCAGCCAAAAAATCAAATACACAATCAATTATTACCTATTTATTGATCAATTTTCTAGAGTTTATAATGATACTGCTCATGGGGTTTTGGGGTTTTGGGGTTTTGGGGTTTTGGGG